AAACCTAAATACACACTTTCTTTGGGCATAAAATATGAAGACCGTGGGATTTCCTTCCAAATGAGCAAAAGAAGGCATATTTGCGGGCATTTTTTCTGTAAAATATATTAGAATTTGCAAGACCGTCGAAAATCAATAGGAAAATGCATGCTACTTAAGTAGTCGTTTTTTACCGAGTGTGGTTTCTGCAGGAGGTCAAAAAGAAATGTATTCAAAAGCCGACATCCTGGCGAGTCCGAAATGTTATAGGGTTATGCTGCATGATAAGCAGTATAACAACCCCACTTAAGTAATCCTTCCTAATCGGAAACGCACTCCAGAATTTCGGTTAACATTTCATGACATCGGTCATGCACTGTACTCTCGGCATAACCTAATTCGCGCCCACTTTGCTCTGGCGCATGCGGTGAACATTAGCGTTAACGACGGCCAAATTGTCGTTTGTAGAGGCTTTATGTCACGACAACCACCGCATCCATGCTCATATTTTGTAGTACCGACTGCGACTTTGCAATGGAATATGATGGGTGAGGGAATAGATTTTGAGGTAGATTTTCGGAAGTCGCCTCCATTTTACGCTGCGGTAGCCATTGTCTGTGGGACTCTGGTGCTCCCCATCAAATTCAACTGGGGAATTGTCAATACCTAGGCGTGGGCTGCAGAAACAGACTATGCTGTTACACCAGACCTAAATGGACCCCATACAAGTGTGTGTGACGCGTGTCAGACAGAGGCTTCATTACAAATTAGATACTGCATCCGACCTCACCTCCAATATGCTTGACTTGCATTAGCCACGGCGTCTGTGGGACCTTTCCTGACTTAAACCTTTGAAGTGCTTTTAAGGTATAACGAAGGGGTAACTGGATCCCACGCAGCAAGAAGCAGTTTGTACAGTTCTCCGCCTACTTTGGTGTTAGGGTCATAATGAGATCTGTTTCAACAAATTCTGGTTCGTGTGGAGTGCACGTGTGTGACGCACGCAGGCGACGCGAATGCCTGGTTGGCCATGTTACCAAGCCCGTCGTCTGGAGCTTAGCTTGCTACTAAAACAACATGGGTGTAGGAAAATGGGGTTAGGTCGATGCGTGCAGGCATTTCTTGCTGCAATTAAACCCACCTACACAAGCTACCTCTGCCCCCCACAGGCAAGGATGCTCTTCGTCGACTACCACCACCACCACCACCACCACCACCACCACCACCACCACCACCACCACCATCATCATCATCATCATCATCATCACCATCAACACCACGCTGAAGCCTTTTTCCGCATGGGAAAAATAATATGCCCGATAAGTTGGACATCGTTGGATCTTTGTAGCACAGAAACATTACAAGACTCAAGTTGTCGTCCTCGACTTAAGCGGAATCCGGCTAGTACCAAAGCATTCAGCATCCGGTGTTCTGACAGAGGCGGAGAATTACGAGGGTATTGGGCTTTATTCGTCGTTCTTCCCTGAACCTGATCCCCTGATCACCTCCAGCGGGCGTTTCTGCGGCGCCATGAAAAGTTAGACCATGGAAAAGTGGAATGCAAGATGGCAACGCACGTGCGGTTCGCACTATTGCAAACGCCTCATGAAATATTGACCGAAATTCTGAAATGCGTTTTCGCTTAGGAAGGATAACTTGAATGAGGCAGTAGTAGCAGTCGCAGTAGTAGTAGTAGTAGTAGTAGTAGTAGTAGTAGCAGCAGTAGTAGTAGTAGTAGTAGTAGTAGTAGTAGTAGTGCAAGACTCGGTGACGATGGGGTCCTTTTACTTCGACAGTATTTTTTGAACTTAGAACCTACTGACAAGAATGTCCAGTATTCCAGACAAATCGGTGGCATCATAGTGATTTGGGAGCGAAGTGGAATAAATGTTGCGTGACAGTCAGTCTGTCCCCTACATGATGGAGAAGGTTAGGACTAGAGGTCAAGGAAAGAGGGGAATGACCCCGTCAGCCTGTTGACCGGCTAGATCATCGGCCAACAACCAACGCCCCCCTACCTAAGCTGTCCAGACTCATTAGCTGTTTACTTAGCCCCCCTCCTCATTCTCCCGAGTCAGTCCTTTTGTCAAACATGGGGTGGGAGGGGGACGGACTAAATGCAGGGGAAGATTCCCCAGGTGTGGCACACGTCAAATCCCGCTCACTCACGCCAGGCCAGCACAAAGAGTCTGGTCCGGCACGAAACCTCCAACTGAAGGCTGTTGAAAGGCGCGCCACACGCCAGAGCGTGCATGAGCGCGCAGGGGAGAGAGAGCTAGCTGGCTTGATTATCTCTCCTTCCGAGGCGTTTAGGCAGAGGCCTTTTTCAGCTCACACATACCCCCTAGAGCATCATCATCAAAGAAACACCTTCAAAAACTGACCAGCCGGAAAATGAAGTTTGAATTGTCTTAGTCGAGTCGTTAGAAGGTGATGAGTGCAATGAAATGGGGTTGGGGAGGGAGGTAGAGAAAGTGAACCAGTTAACCTTTCCTGCTGACGTCAATGACAGACTACTGAAATCAAGATCCACAACTGTGAGACCTATTTTCGACCTGCTGGCCTATTTATACCGTTGGTTATATAAGTCGGTCCACAAAAGACACCCCCCTGATGAGTTAGAATCTGTCCCTAGCTAATTCTGCCTTGTCGTTGAGTACGAATGTGTTTGCATTTTCTCAGTGCGAGTGTTTTGTGCATGAGCCAGTAACAACTGAACGAGAAATTAGCGTCTGAACGAAAAATACAAACAGACGAGGAGGGATTCCGTCACATGAGGCACCTTTCCAAAATGGCGAAAGTAAAATTAGGTAAATATGCGGACAGTGGTGCACCTAGAGACTGTCTTGCAAGCAGTCGCGTTGTTTCCCATGCAAAAGTCCTAATAACTAAGAACTACCTGTCACGTTTTCCCTTTACCGACAAATTGCTATATGAAGTTACTGGCAAAGCAAAATAAGTGTCCGAAAAGACCGCTTAGGCCGTGGGAAATCAAAATTCATTTCTCTTACTTGTCACGAAAGTTACAGTTATACGCAGTTTGGACACGACTTTTCAACACAACACCACATGAGTATGGTCTCCTACCTGTTTTTTCCTGCAATTCCAATAAATCCAATGCAGAATAGATGCCCGTCAGCCTACTGATTCGCCCAATTTCATCATCCAGCTTTAGTATACAAATTACTTGAAAGTAAACCATTTCTAAAAATCGACTAACTCCCCATACTCCTTAAAAGTCCAAACATGTGCTTGGCGGATTTTGCGCCGCTGCCTGACGCAGTCGACAAGGTGAATCCCCTGCAGCTGTATCGAGCAGCGACACAAAGCCGGCCAAACACGTGCCTGGGCTTTCGGCTGGCACCCCTGCTGGTCTTATGGTGAATCAATCTGTGCATGCACTTAAATGACTGCCTGTGGGCAGTGTAGGAATATTACATGACTACTCAATCAAGTTGGCGCATATCAGCTCAAATATACGCATTGACTTTCGAACCGAATCTGAAAAGCTTTGTGACGAAGGTTCATCTCCGAGTCCATAGGCTAATTTCCGTAGAAATTGCAACTGAACACAAACATGTACTTATAAAATGTCAGTAACAATAAAAGTACAGTAGATGTGCTAACTCATGAAATGTCAACCAAAATTTCGAAATGCGTTCTCGTTTCGAAAAGATAAATAAAGTAGTGTTGTAAAACTAACCATGATGCAGCATACATCTATAATGATCCAGTTACCTCAGGGTGTCGGCTTTCGAAACAAATTATTTCCCACTGCATGTAGGATCTATACTCTGCAAAAAATGACTACTTATGTAGCACGCAATTTTCTCATTGATTTTCGATGCCCTTGAAAATTAAATTATATTTCATAAAAAAAACATGCATAAAAATATTCATTTTTTACTTATTCGGTAGAAAATCACGTCTTCTTCCAATTTCATACTCAAAAGAAGAGTATAATTCGGTTTTAAAAACACTTTTCTAATTCCCGAATAATTTTGAACCCGACCTGTTGTTACACTTGCATTCAGGGTTGCAAAACTATAAGCTGTATATTTTCCGTGTACGGAAAACCCTGCATTTCTCTACGGTGTTAAGAGGAGACCATATGAGTTTCATAAAATTAAGCAGTGGATTTGAGCAATATTGTTAACTTTACAAGCCACATTCGTAAATGCAGATACATGACGTTTCATGAACGGCCATTTAACGGTATTAAAAAATCTCACAATTAGAAACTTTTAAAGCCGAATTATACTCTTCTTTTGAGTATGAAATTGGCAGAAGACGTAATTTTCTACCGAATACGTAAAAGAATGAATAGTTTTATGCATGTTTTCCATGAAATATAATTGAATTTTAAGGGCATCGAAAATCAATGAGAAAATTGCATGCTACATAAGTAGTCATTTTTTGCAGAGTATAGATCCTACATGCAGTGGGAAATAGGTTGTTTCGAAAGCCGACACCCTGAGGTAACTGGATCATTATAGATGTATGCTGCATCATGATTAGTTTTACAACACTACTTTATTTATCTTTTCGAAACGAGAACGCATTTCGAAATTTTGGTTGACATTTCATGAGTTAGCACATCTACTGTATTACACTGACGGGTGTCGCTTTGGTCGACATTCGAAGATGGCAGCACAGAGCCAACGGGAAGAACAGCCTAATTGAGACACTGTGTAAGCTTAAACGCTCAAAACAGCTATAGAGAATCAATAAAAGGACACCTGGGAGCATACAAATCCGAACTCAAGTCCTGATAAGTCCTTCCTAAAATCTGACGTGCCTTAGACCATCCCTGTGCGTCAAAAGCCATGACCTCGGAGGTTGCCAACTGAGGGGATAATTCAGACCTCGCAGTCAATCTAGTGCGCGTTTGTGTGGAGTGGCGGACCGATGAACTGAGAGTCAGGCTGCAAGGTCTCCTTAATGTGACCTCTGTGGCTGACCCAATCCGTGAGATCCGAGCCGGGTGTGGCGGCACGCCTAGGGGCGACTCAGGCCAAGGTCTACGCGCGCGGTGGCCCCAGTTCATGGATCAACTCAACACGCCATTTCAGAAGATGCGGCGTCGAGAATAAGTTTCCCAGGACTTCAAGGACGCTATAATCATTCGTCTCTACAAGCCGAAAGGTAACCGGCAACTTTGTTGTTACCAGAGAGGAATCTCTCCTCCCAACATCGCCGGAACGATCTTCCCTCGCATTCCTTCGCATCTTAATGGTCATCTCGAACAAGGACTTCTCTCGGAAAGTCAGTGTGGCTTTCAATGTCGCCGTGGAACCACTGGCCTGATCTTCACCGTCTGTCAGCTGCAGTAGAAGTTTCAGGAAATGCGGACCCATTTCTGCGCTACATTCGTGGATTTGACGAAGGCCTTTGATACGATGAATCGTGAGGGACTATGGAAAATAATGCAGAAATTCGGCTGTCCTGAACTTTTGACGCACCTGGCGCTTCAGCTCCATGACGGGATGATGGCGCGCGTCGCGGACAAGGGGATCGTCTCGGAAGCATTTACAGTAGACCGCGGAGTGAGGCAGGGCTGCGTGCTCGCCCCAGCTCTCTTCAGTCTCATATTTTCTACCAGGCTGATGAACGACTACCGTGATGAGCGCACCGAAATCCACATCGCGTACAGAACCAGTGGTCATCTTCTTAACAGCCGGCGCATGCAGACTTCAGTGCGTATCTTCACGACTACTGTTCACGACCTGCTCTTCGCGGTTGACTGCGCACTCAACAACATATCAGAAACTGACGTGGAACGGAGCATGGAACTCTTCGCCGCCGGGTGCGTCAACTTCGGGTTGACAATCAACACGGACGAAACGGTGGTCGCGCACAAACCGAACGCGGCATACAGTGTTCCTCGCATCCCCGTCAACGGAGCCCGACAGAAGACCGTGTACAACTTCGCCTTCTTAGGCAGTACACTTTCATGCTGAATCAAAATCGACAATGAACTAGTTCACCGGACCTCCGAAGCCAGATAAGACTTCAGTCGGCTACAGAACTTCGTATGCGATCGCCACCGTCTCCATCTGAACATGAAAATGAAGATGAATAAAGCTGTCGTCCTGCCAACACTACTGTTTAGAGTAGAGACCTGGACAGTCTACAAGGGACAAGCGAGGAAACTGAATCACTTCCACCTCAGTTGTCCCCGCCGGATACTAAAGCTGAGGTGGCAGGACAGGTTCTCCTACACGGAGGTTCTGGAACTGACCAGAATCCCCAGAATCCACGCCATACTGAGGCAATTGGAACTATGTCGGTGGGGTCCTCCCATGAGGATAGATGACGCTCGTCTACGAGGACAGCCCTTCTACGGAGATGTTGTCACAGGTGATCGCCGACAGGTATGTCAAACCCGTTGTTACAAAGACACCTTGAAGAATTACTTGGAGCGAGTACAAATAAACCCAAAGACCTGAGAATACCTCGCACAAAACCTGGACTACAGAAAAGCTGTGAAGACCGGAGAAGCCATCTATGAACCAACCGGATCGCAGCTGCCAAAGATTAAAAATAAGCTCACAAGTCTCAGACGTCCCTGACCTACAACGCCAACCCCCAATCCCTCCCAACGTGCCTACTGCGTCAACGAACACTTGGCGCGTGGGACCGGCCTCGTTGGGATTCTCCGGATCCAGCGCACCAACCACCTGACAACACCAACTGCTGTCTCCATGGCGGCCCCCTCCATCGAACCCCGTGGCGTCCACGATGACGCTCATCCTGACCACCGATGCTCAACATCACCGTGCCGTGCCGCCGTCGATCATCGTCATCTCCATAATCTCTGCCGAAACCTCAGTGGAGACGACGACCACAACCGGGCAAAACGCGCTCGACGTCTCGTCAGCCACTACCCTTACCATCACACCCCCGCATCCAGCGATGTGGATTCGGTTCCAAACTGCCCTCATTGCGACCGCACATTCATCTCGCGCATCGGCCTGGTCGGGCACTTGCGAATCCATCGCACAGAGACTGACGAGCCAACGCCTAGAGCATCAGCAAACACTAACTGCATCCGCCTTCACTGTCAACGCGCATTCATCCACCGCAGGGGCCTATTCGGTCAAATGCGTGTCCACGACAGTGCAATTAACTACAGTATCGACACACTTATAATGGCTTGTATATCCACCACTCCCAACCCAATCAAATCCCCATCGCGCTCCCCACAAGCAGCAGCCCCATCGTCGAAACGGAGTCCGCAGCTCCCGACCTATCCAGCCCAAACTGACATTGCACATTTGATCCACGCACCAGCCTGGTCGGTCACCGGCAAATCCACTGCCCGAAGACTGGCGAACCAGTGTCTGGAGCACTAACATACTCCAGGCGCACTCGCCTCAACTTCCCGCATTGTCCTCGCACATTCGGCCATCACATGGGCCTACCAAGCCACATGCGTTTCCATGAAAACCTGCGGTTAAACATCACAAAAATGAACACATCATCACACATTCCCCCATCAGCATATGCATTACACGTAAACGCCTCCAACATCCCACATCATCGGTAGCTCTCGCGTAAGTGAGAAGTGTGCTCTGCGGTCCCTTTCCCCATACGGCTCCTCTGTTGCATGTGTGACCCGAGCGATCTACGCCTTGTGTGAAATCCTGATGTGTGCGCCTTTAGAGGACAGGCCGTGTGCATGGTACGCGCAGAAGAGCTGTTCTTAGCGCTGTCAGCCAACTCTCTTAATCTTAGCACCAGTAGGTTGACCGACTCGGACAGTCGACTGTTGTGTGAGGTAGGGTAGAGTGTGTGGGGCCGACTCTCAGCGCATAGTTCCTCACTCTAAACCATTTGACTTGCTTACGACTATCATGGTGCGTTAAAAACTGTGGCTCAGAAGGGTGTAAACTGACGGAATAACTCGGACCTCACAGTCAACTAAGTGTGTTTCTGTGGGGTGATGGGTTGAGAGTCAAACTGAAATGGCTCCTTCTTAACGTGCTCTCTACGACACTCCCACCTAGTGGGATCCAAGCCACCCCCTTCTTCTCTTATGTAAAATCCTGTGTAGTATCTGTGTAGGTGTGATGCGCCTAGGTGAGGATTTTTGCCGTGCCAGCTACCTTCGTCCTCTCCTGTCTCCGGTCTTCTTGACTCTGCCTTGACACCGAGTCCATGTAGGGGAGGAGAGAGTTCGGGAGATGCTGTTCAAGCCTAATAACACTATGACCTAAGGCGCAAGTCAGTCCCTGAATGCACCCTGCTGTGGGACACATTCTGGATGTCGTCGGAATCGACGGTCGAACTGTCGCCAGGGAAAGCGCTTCTGCCATAGTATTAGTTATCAACAATGAGTACTCAGACCGTGGAACTCGGGCAAATGACTCGCTAAAGTCAGCTAGGACGCCTCCAAAGTTGCACTGTGAGCAGTATACGAAGGAAACCACAATGGCTCGTCCGACTGAAATTGCTCCGCCACCTACATTATGTAGAGGTTTTGTGACATCCGGAGCGGTCGCATGGTAGATATCGTCATCTTTAGCGCATTCCAACAAAACTCCATAATGAGATTGACTAACGCTTTTGGTGGGACTGCCCCTGAAAAACTACAACTAATTTTGATAGCCGATATCCCTTGGACCGGTGTTTTAAAATAAGCGTTTTCACTTACTCCCTTCTTTTCCCCGAATGGCCTAATACTTCTAAAATTGGAAATCAGGCCACATAAGTACTCCATGTTTAAACCACGAATTGTAGCATTTCCACCAGATATAAAATCAACCGGACATTGCGCTGAGAGACGATTGGTAAAATTTGTCAACATGGGTTTCGAGAATCCCCTTACCAGGTTACTTCAGGAGGGAAAGTATACGCACGCTATGCAGTAGCTTCCACCACAACCAACTAAAACGGCCATTAGGCTTAATTAACCCAGTTATTCGACCTATTCTGCCTTATTGGCGTTTGAGCAGACTACCGTTGGATGAACGAGTGAGGGGATGTGATGACACCCTTAAATACAGTCCCCCATGTTACGGCTTCGCTCCACTTCCCATAGTAAGAAAGTTCTGCAGATGCAAGCAAGCAGAAAGGAACGGGTAGATGACATTCGACTGAACCATCGTCCAAGGCCCGAACTCCTGAAAAGGTGTCTCATTAGCAACATCCTCCAAATCTCGTCGGCAAAAAATGCTTGACGTTGCGTCCACATGCCTCCGTAGTGGTGAAGACAGCGTGGCACACAATCAGTAGGTTGGACTTCGGGGTGCTTCAGAGTCTACATGGTGTTTCACGTGTCCGTGCATCATCGGCTAAGTCTTGAACGTAGGGGGGGGGGGGCTTCCTGGCTCTGAGTAAATTACTTCTCAAGGCGTCAGCTCTCATGGACCCCCAGTTCTGTTGGAAATGTCTAGTAATAAACCAACCCTGCCCGTTGTCAACACCCACGAGGAGATTCAAAAATGTAAACAAAATTACTACTGAGCGATGTTCAATAGGCGGGTTTATATTGTGTGAAGAAAAATGACACACGGTCAGTCTGCAACCACAGGAAAAAGATAACAAGGTGGCAGTAGGAGCAAGAAAATTTTACAATGAGATTCTGCAGCGCGAGGCAGCGGCACAAACAGGTCAAATGTGCAGTTAATTAAGCTGGATGCTGATGCAGTTGCGAAACCGATAGTCCTGTTGCTGGCGGCGCGTGCTGTGTTCAGGCCTCAGACACGTAAAACGACAGAAAATGAGTGAGGTGTTGGTGTTCTTTACTTTGACTTTTTGCCCGACCTCATGCTCTTGAGGGGATTTTTTCGACCACGCGGATCTCGATCACCGGCCTGGGAGGGAGAGCCCATTAGCGGGGCCAACTTGGGCTGCGACTGGCTGCCCCCTTCTGTCAGAATGTCCGGATGGGGGATCCAATCCTCGACTTCCATTAGGGATTCAGGCTTCATGACAGAAAAGGTACACATCAGATAGAAGAAAGAATAAAGAAAAAACAAACAGTGAATAGGGTTAATTCCAATCACCTTAGCTCACTGCTTGCTGGACACAATAGGCGTACATGAATTACTGAAGTAGCTATAGGACAAGCTGGCCAACTCCTAGAACTAAAGTAAACGGCCGACGACCACGAACGGAATACTTGTGTTATTCATGGACAAAGTCAAACCGATTTGCGGCAGCGAAACGTTGCAAGCGACGGCTGGGGGAAACAAGAGTTCTTGGTTCCGACTCCCCACAGACTTCACGGTTTTTGGCAAAGTTTTTCAGCTTTGTTCAGCGCGCTCTCCACATGGGGAATCCCGGACCCCTCAAGTAATCAGCCCGCAGTTTTACCCGTGATTTAAATTCTCGAAAGCCATCCTGGAAAGATCTGCGGATGAACAAACGGGTAACACGCCAAGAGATCGCCAAAAATGTTTGGGTGTAGGCAGTCAGAAGCCCGACCCAGAAGGGCATGCTACCTTTAAAATGGGATAACTAGCCATCAACGCAGGGTCACGAAATCTCAGGTTGTAGCTCCACACGGTGTTCAAAGAAAAGTCGAATTTGTCCGTCAAAGTCAGATAAATGGAAAACTGGATTCTCTCATCCTCATGGTACTACTGTCTGGCAGCTTGGACACGTCAAAGAAGTGGAACATTTCCTTACATGACGCAACTAGCAAACTTATTATGTAAATAACCGTATGCGAAAAACAAGAGAATACACTTTTATGAGCATTTCCAGTACACCAGTCGACTCGCATTATGATTCTTTGGAGCCAGTGCTGAAACAGATTTTGCGAGGCTTTAGGCATCAGAAACCAGTTTCTCCACCTGTAAACTGGTACCGTTTAGAGGTAAACATAACAGACTCCACCCAACACCGTTAAATGGATAAATTTGACAACGACATGAGGGATGGGAGTCGGTCACTGATACCCTGATACCCTTAGCATGGACCGGTGGTGTTCTTTGATAGCGAGACTCGTAGATAATCCCATCCTCTTCCCTGTCTTCTTTGTAATGAAATTCAGGACGCTTTTAAAGTATTCTCGGTTGGAGTAAACTGTATCCGGAGTTATCGTGCAACGTGGTCGAAACTGCCACTGGATCATCGACCTTGGTTGGTGATGCGATTTCACATTCAAGCATGGCCTACCAGCCGAAGCACCGGCTGGAGACGGCAGCAGTAGAACACAGAATAGCGTTGACTGCAGCTACAAGCACACACACCGTATGTTCCTATTTAACTTTGTAACTCTGGGAAGCGACAAAACGCAAGCTTGGTAGTTTACGCCTTCCTAGCATATTCGGAGCAGCAACCCAGAAGAATCAAGGTGGGAGAAGGGATCTACCACATCAATACTATCATAAATGATAAAACTACTATTGAGGTATGGAGGTATTGAGCATTACTTCGCTTCCAGGATTTCATGGCCAGATCAAATTTCACCCCCTTATTTTCAAACTAAAGCAACGTCTCGACAAAATCAGGGCCCGGGATTAAGAGTTTCTGTCCCGCCTAGGTATTCGTAGTTGAGGGGTGGTGTAGATATAATTGCATCCACTGCATGGTCTTCTGCGAGGTTCGTACTGACGGTGTACTGGTTTTATTTTATTGTATAAGGAGCTTTGGCCATGGCGGCGGATAATCTGACATCCGTAGGTTCCGAAGTTCAAAAGCAAACATTATCCTCTATGAAACTGAAAAGGAGATTTCGTCGACCGAGTCGCGTACTGACACGAAATCAGAAAAGACGAACGTCTTCCATCGAAAACAGCATCTTCGGTCTCGGATCAGTCGCAGACTAGATAGATGGTCGGCTGACTAGTTTCCAGACCGACAAACACCTCTGCCTTGCTTTTACGGTGAAATTCATGGAGCTTTGCGGAGATAGAGCGTAAGTTAATGCCTCAAAAACTGCGGCATCTAGATGAATTTCTCAATCTTCGTAGCTCCGGTTCCGCCGGAGAGACTCGGCGCTCTATGTCCACTTGAGACGGAGAGGAATTACACTAAGACAGACCTTTTAGACTTCGGCTGATAGGCAACATTTGTCCGGAACCTTGTCGACTCGAACTTGATGGACTATTGGTGCAACCTTGGCAGTTAGGTCCCAAGCTCTGGTCTCTTCCGGTCCCTCGGACTGATCAGCTCTCGCGCTATGTTCTCTCATAAGGACGCAATTCCCAGGTGAGACAACATTTCCGCCACTCCCACGCAACCTTACCTTTTCCCGATCTCCGCAGACAGAGGGCGAGCCAAGTTGCTCAAGTAGACAGTATTTGGTGTGAGTAGAGAAGAGGGAGGCTGGTCGAGCACCGGCGCCATTTGTCTATTTTTGTGGGCTTTCGAACTCTTACAAGAAGCCTTCGTCAAAGATAAAAACAGCAACAGTGTAACTGATCAACAACCCACATGGCAGCGCACCTAAAGTTGGGATACTACGGGTTAATGACAACTAATGTGCCAGAAATTGTCATTTCAGTGTCTCTAAACGTTTTCAATAAGATTTGCTGATTCTACAACTATCTGGATGCCAGAGCAGAAGTATTTCGCCTACTGTTGTAAGCCCCACTTCGACTGGAAGCAGCCTGTTTCCAGTAATACAGAGAAATCGGATGGCAGTGTTATGGAGACAACCAATTAAGCAATTTTCGGACTGTGCTTATCAGTCCATGGGAACATCTCTTCCGGCTACGACAGTCAGGTCACAGGGATGGAGGCGGCAGTCAAAGAATGTTTCCTCGTTGCCGTCTTTCGCATTAGAACAAACAATAATGCCTAGAATAGAGGCGAATTTCCGAGTCATAAATGAATTGTTTACCTAGTGGCGAAGGTAACACCATACCTGTCCGAGTCTTCCCGCTGAATGCTGCGGTAAGGGTGATAGATGGCGTCGGTCAGTTGAAATATGCCCTTTGCCACTTTGCACGAGTCCGCGATGTCAAAGTTTAATTGTGCAGGGTCAGTGATCGTATCCTAGTGCATTCGAGGGCACACACACATCCTAGCAAATTGTTGAGGAATGCCAGTTACCATACCTAATATTCGGCCTTTTAGCGGGGACTACGCGGCACCCGTTTTTGTGGACATAAGTTGCGTTCTATGCACTGCAGTCATGTAAGATGGCGGAGATACGATGTGGATGCCTCCCAAATTCCCCCCCACAGACGCAAATCCATGAGGCGGTGGTGTTGACTGAAGTCCTACTTAATGGCAGCCAGTATTTGTTGCATTATAACGCCCCTTTCGACTTGCGACCTGTTTCTGTCATTTGCGTCAGTGAGCTATTGACAGATCAGCCAGGACAAAATTGTGGTTCGATGGAACTCGGCTGCATTTTACCTGTACTTTTTCGTACCTGATTTAATGGGGTCCCGGTTACCGGAAGGATATTTGGCAGAGGTAGGGTGAATGACCCCAATTAACTGTCGGTATACTGTGCGCAAACTCATGAAATGTCAACCGAAATTCCGAAAAGCGTTTTCGTTTCGAAAAGAGTACTTAACTAGGGTTGTGAAACTAAGCATCGTGCAGCATAATTTTATAATTATTCAGTTACCTCAGGATGCCGGCTTTCTAAAAAACTTCTTTCCGGCCGCATGCAAAAACTACGTTCTGTAAAAAATGACTACTTATGCAGCATGAATTCTCCTAAATTTTCGATGCTCTTATAAAGTTAAATATATCTTACAGAAAACATGCATAAAAATGCTCATTATTTTGTTCATTCTTCCGATTTTATAATCAAAGGATGGGTATAATTCGGTGTTCAAAAACTTTCCCAGTTTCCGAATAATTTCGAACCCCGACCTGTCTTTACACTTGCATCAGGGTTTCCAAACTACAAGCCGTATATTTTCCGCATACGGAAAACCATACATTTCTCTACGGTATTAAGAGGAAACCATATGGGGTTCATAAAATTTAGCAGTGGGTTTGAGACATTCTGTTAACTTTACAAGCGACATTGGTAAATGCAGAGACATGACGTTTTATGAATGGCCATTTCATGGTATTAAACATCTCACAATTATAAACTTTTTCAAAACCGAAGTATACCCTTTCTATGAGTACAAAAGTGGATGAAGACGTAATATTCTACCGAATGAGTAAAAGAATGAATATTTATATGCATGTTTTCCATGAAATATGATTGAATTTATAAGGGCATCGAAAATCAAGGAAAAAAATGAATGCTACCTAAGTAGTCATTTTTACAGAGTCCGGTTTTGCAAACGACCGAAAATAAGTTCGTTCAGAAGCCGTCATTCTGGCGTGACGGAAACATATTAGGCTTGGGCTGCATGACAATTAATATTACGGCCCTACTTAAGTAATCTTTTCGAATCGAAAGCACAGTTCAGAAGCTCGGTCGGACAACCAAACTGCCCATTTCCCCGGTGAATGGAGGAAACTGGGCAAAAGGACAGTGTGTCGCCTTTACAGCGGCAAACATATTTATTGCTGGTGGTCCGCTCGGCAATAGAAATGCTTACAGAGGACAGTCAGACTGATTACGTTTCCGCACTAGCGTGAAGCATAGGTTCCTCATTTTACGCTATTACGATCAAAATTGACACATCAGGACCAAGATTTGCACGATTAGAAACTTTTTAAATCCGATTTATATGCTTCATTCGAGTATAAAGTTGAAAGAAGACGTAATTTTCTACTGAAAAAGCAAAAGAATGAATATTTTTATGCGTGTTTTCTATGAAATATAATTGAATTTTTAAGGGCATCGAAAATCAATGAGAAAAATGCATGCTACTTAAGTGGTCATTTTTTACAGATTTACAGGTTTATGCATGCGGCCGAAAAGAAGTTCGTTCGAAAGCCAGCATCTCGGAGTAACTGAATTATTATAGAATTATGCTGTACAGCGAGTAGTTTTACAACCCTACTTAATTAGTCTTTTCGAAACGAAAACTCATTCTAGAATTTCGGTTGGCATTTCATGAATTAGCCCACCTACTGTGCATACATCAGCACGCGATCCACAGTCTACCAACAGCTAATTGGGGTCCTTCATCTTGCCGCTGCTGGATATTCAACTACCTGCTGGCCAGGGGCGTGTTGGACAGCTACTCTGGACGCTAACATTCTGGGCAAAATTTTCCCAGGGAGACTAAGAGAGGTAACTATTCACTCCGATTGAATTTTTAAAAAAGGCACGACCGGCACACCAACGACCAATTAAAAACGTAGACCATAGACAACCCGTGCAACTTTCTTTCATCGGAACAGGCAGTGGAAGAGGCTGATAAATGAGAGGGACTATCACGAACCGCTCAAGTTGGTTAAAACGAGGTCTACTAGAGACACAAGTAATTTGGGGGATAGAAATGAAAAATGGAGCACAGAAGCTTGACTCACATCGAACTTTCCAGAGTCCTTTTTGCCTAAGGAGTTCAGCAAGTTGACCTTCTCGGCAAGCGCGGCTCGGCCCACTTCCCAATCATGCTTTAGTTTCTTCGCCTTCTCCATTTCGCCGACCACCTCGCTGACCACTACATCCACACGGTTGCACCAAGCCTCAAGGTCGGAACGCAGCTTGGGCAGCTGAAAGAATGAGGGAGCATTTACCAGCGCGTAAAAATACAGTTCTGGTGAGTGTCCTACCCAAAAAGTGCCAGATAAACCCTGAAAGAACGTCATCTAAAGTGATTCAACAGAATGTAACAGTGCAAGGCAATGTAAGAGTAAAGACGGGAAATCATGTTACCTCAGTCTCACGAAGGTCTCGCCCTATGGCCGATTCAACAACGAGCAGGCCCTTCTGCTGATCCAGTTTACCGCAGGCAGCTTCGAGGTAGAAGAGTTCTATGATGAGATCTTCCAGCTCGCGCAGAGATGACAACTCCAACATTTGCAATAGGCGGTCGTAAGGTATGAGTTTTTGCGAATAACAGGCAGATATTATGCTCAGTTGCCGCAGCTTTCGTACTTGGAGAGGAGTCAACGGAGGGTAGGAGGTCTGGGCCATCTTATAGTCATTGTACGTGCCGTAGCAAAACAATCGAAGCAGAGCCAAATCGCGGGAACTATCCTTCTCATCGAGGGATTTGATTATAGGATTGTCAAAAAGTTCGCTAAACACGAACAGACCTTGAAAAACAATGAAACAGCAATCATAAACGGTAATGCTTGAAATGAGAGGGTTCCTTGGCGTCTAAGGAACGCTGAGATTCAATCTGGTATACTGGCTCAAAGGTGTCGCAGTAACTTCCCTGAATACAGACGCAAGACTCCTACAAAAGGATTGACCAATTGGATTCCCTTATGAAACGCGTTCACTCAAAGCCTCAAGCGGCGAAGCCAGTCCACTGATTGGATCAAATGCCAAATTAGAAATTATCAATTCTAACAGCCTGCTGCCAAACCTTGAATTACATTCTTCCTCATTCGTAGGTGAGTCCGCCACACTCTCACGCAAGGCCTTCGGGTGCTATAAACCATGGTTATTCAGACACACCACTAATGCTGCCCGCCTACGTGGTCTCCATACCTCGTAAGCGACACGGATGTTCCGGAAAGGGTTCCGAGCCGGTCAACAAAGCTTGTTCGCCCCATTTGGAACCTAAGGCCAGAGGTGAGACTGAAAGGGGCTCCAACTGCCAACGATGGGGCACCGATGTCAACTTGAAAACCTAGTAGAAACACATGGAACAGCTGGTAAGATAGACGTGTACTCTGCCATCAGTGGTGCCCTGCCTAGCCGAGAGCAAGGAAAAGACCTGAAAGTATGCATTCAGTCTGTACTGTTTAACGAGTCCGCAGGTGTGTTACTTGTGACGGAAACGTGTGAAAAATGAGTTTGCTCACCGATATTCAAGGTACGTCCCAAGAGTGAAGCAAATCCCTCCCGTGCCGATGTAAATTCCGAGAACGACCTCATGAATGACCGATAAATCGGAATAGTTGTAACCACAGATGCAGAAGCCAAATTCGTGGCATCCTCTTTGACCATCTACCAGCATAAACTTTGCTATTCAAGGCCTTGCCCGATCATTAAAAGGAAATAAGACGAACGGACATTAAAGAACTGGGAATGGCAAAGCGAAACTGGCTGCCATCATATGAATGATTAAAATCATCCAACCCTGGTTAATTATAACCCTGAATGATATACATATTTACATATTATTTCGACGAAAATACTGCCTCATTTTCTGCTTGCAGCCTTATTTATGCAAACCACGTTCCTTCTAACCCAACCTGAATGCCCTTTCTAATGGCCTTTCGCGATGGGTGGAACGTAACGGGGCCAGCAGAACTTGAAAGACTGGAGTGACGCTACGAATAAGATATGACGATGTGCGTGCTGCAAAGTGCGATCATAGTAATAATGAATACAAGCACAGTAGGTCCTAGCCATTAAAAAAAGTCATCGAAGAGCAGCAAGTCAGTAATGTATGAAAATCAGGAAAGCGACAATGTTTCGAGGTTAGAGTTAGTGATGACATGTAAGCTGGAAAAAAGACTTCCCCCTTGTAAGATGCTAAATTTGAGGACAAATAAAATGAATCGGTCGGGAACTTCTTGGATAATGTGGGCGATCTGTGCACTAGGAATATCCCGCACCACTACAGACCAAAAGGACCTCCATAAAAAGTCAAAAATACGGCATAAGACTCATCCGTGGCACTTCTGGATATTTTGACAAGTTCGCGTAAGAATGTCTTAGGATACAGAGCTAAACCGAAGTACTTAAGTGCTCTGCACAAATTCAGAAGACAGGGGAAGTGCTGCCAACAGAGAAACGACCAGTGCAATGGCACAACAACAGCATGATCACCTAGATTACTCATCAAAGCAGGGAACGCCAACAAAACAGGTCGAGAATCGATTGAATCCTGGGTCTCTGATGCGGTCTGGCACCGCCGTACAGGGCCCTGCGCAGTCATCTCTAGTCCTGCGGCATCAGTCGATGATTGAATAACATCCGCTATAATCGTCGCACGTTCTATTGTTACTACTATCTCTGACGATGGACTCCTGCAAGAGTCCGAGAGCTCAGGAGAATAAACAAACTGTTTCGGTGCTCGACGTGTCTTATTCCCAACCCATACATTCAATACCTCAGTGATTGAAACTTTGTCATATTGTGTACTACATTTGCTCCACCGCGTCTTGAATATTATTCACTAGCGTGGCACTTTTGTCGCGTCTAGGAAGTCGGTCTTTTGTGAGAAATTTAGGAACTGACATCTAAGCAAAGGGGGACGTATAAGCGAGCTTAGACTTCCCACGCTGCGGCTGGTGCGGCAACAGGTGGATGCAGTTGAGGTTATCATAGTTAACATAACAGACGATGAAGACAGAATTATTTTTACAGTCTCTCCATAAAGTCAATCCTTTGAGGCACGCGAAGCGTTTAAAACCGCGCATGCATACTGAACTTCGAAAGATAAGTTGTTTGCGGTATGTTTGCCTGCCTGGAAAGGTTGTTGTAATCAAAAAAGCAGGCACGTTCGCCGGGAGAGATTTATTGGAGGCCTGACGTTTCGAGCGGTTACTTCGCCTACCCATCTTCAGATACTAGAAAGTCATGCACACAGCTCTCATTATAAGGCGCACTTTGTTCCATGCGTACTCTGTCAATGCCGCCTGTGTGACTGCATCCGACCCGCATTTCACTGTGACCCGTATCGCCCCGGCCTCGTTGGTCGCGGAGATAATTTGCGACTACTATTGTTCCGCGCCGTAACTGTCCTCCGTCAAAGAAGGTTTGTAAAACTAGATAGGGGGGAGGCAAATTAGTGTGGCGGTTGACAGAACAGTCGGTGGACATCCAGGCTTCTTGCACCTGCCTTGATGTATGATCATCGCCCCGGCCCACAATCTCAACGGCGTCAAAGTTGAAGATGTGTCCCATTTGCGCGACATGAGAATAGGTCCTGCCTCACAAGCCTCCCTACATCGCCCGAACACTGGTCAAAGGCAGTGGACGAGGGACGCCCCGTTGATGACATCTATTTTGACGTCAGCAAGGTCCTTGATTGTGCTCCACGAAAGCGTCTCATCTAAAAGATGTTCGATTGGACGTCCTGGACTGGATTCAAGATTTCGTAACTGATCGTAGAAAAAAGGTTACTAAGCCGCTCCTATTTATTACCTATGTAAATGACTGACATACTGCTCTTTGCAGGCGATCTCAAGCTGTGGGGGAGACTCCAGATATTGCAGCAGGATACATAAGGGCTGCAGGAATGGGGCGGGCTCTGGCGCATGAAATGCAATGTCGACAAATGTGTAGTAATGCGCATAATGTCAGCAAGACGAAGAAGAAGTGTACCTTCACGACAGTATCTTGTGAAAAATCAGCCACTTAAAACAGTAAGTGTTCAAAAAAGACCTTGGAGTATTCGTTAATGACGATTTAAGCGTAACAACACGGTGTTCCAAACTCGTAATGCGAGGAACGTCAACAATGCGGGAAATACATAGAAAGTTTGTCAAACTGGACGCAGATATGTTCGGCAAGGTATACGGAGCATTTGTGCTGCCACACCAGGAATATGTGGTACAAGCTTAGCGGCCAGCGCTTCGGAAAGACAGACATTCTTGAAGGTGTACAGCGATGTCTTGGAAAGCCTGTTCCTGAACTCAAGATTTTGACGCACGAGCAGCACCTGACCGTCTTAAACCTCTAGACCCTCCGCTATAGATAAAACAGAGATAACATACTAAAGTTTCGGTTACTACGGAGATTAGATGTTGATGTGGTCTGGAGAAGTCTTCGAAATGGCACCAAAAACGAATCTTCGACATCGCAATTGCCAACTTAAAAAGTGGCTGTGCCGCACCAATCAACACTCCTCCTTTTTCTCGCAGAGTCATTCAACAGTGGAATTCTTTATCGACGTATTCTACCAATGCGAGTGTGCGTAAGAGACGTCTGGATGCTCACCTGGCAGAGGTCAGCCTGGACTCCCGAAACGCACCTAACAAGCCACAGTAATAACTATAAACATCCTACTATATCGATTTTAATAACTCATTTTGTTTGCATTAACTTTAACACTGTCGAACTTAATGGCGTGCAAATGCAGTCAATATGTTGTTAACTGTTGTTTGACAAATTCACTAGTTTTTTGACACTCCAGTTTCACTATCAGTCTTGTTCATTTCGCATGCTGAAATGATCTGTAAATCTTTACAATTTAACTGCTTTTCGCGTGCACCTGTATATTTTAAAATGGAGTTCTCAAGGGCCTCTGCCCTTTACTTAAAATGCACTGATCTGATTCGACTTTGGGTCCAACATTCGCACGGCCAACTGATGCTCGTGCATTCGCGTCTGCAACCATCGGTCGGTTTCTCTAACGTAGTTACACGTCTTGCAGCTGCACTGAAGTCGGTTGACAACGGCCGATATCTTCTGTTTAGGGATAGGGTCTTTTGGCCGCGTCACTTGCCGGCGAATTGCTGACTCAGGCCTGTGAGCAACTCCTATTTCGGGTGGCGCGAGGAATCTAGCTACGGCTCCGGAGACGCCTTTCATGTACAGAGGGCTTCACTACGATCTTGACAGATTGTATTCTTCATTCCTCTTCCTTTGCTGCATTCGGCTCCGTCCAACGAATGCTCATGGATAGTCGTTGGCCCTGAACAGCCCAAGAAGGAGCTTCATCTCGTCCAATCTGGCGGCTGGCGTGATACAATGAGTTTCCACTCACCGGAATGGCGTGTGTACACAGCTTTGTGTTTCAGTGGGTGGTTACTGTAGTAACTGAGCATTTACAGCGTGTTCGTCTGTTTACTGTAGACAGATTTCGCTATTTTGCCGCCCGGCTGGCGGCAGACGAGAACATCCAAGAATTCGAGTTTGTCCTCCACTTCTTTCTCCATCGTGAACTGTAGGTTTGGGATGATGGCGTTAAGTTGGTCCCCGTAGTAGCTAATTTTATCCTGGTTGATGACTATGAAGGTGCCGTCAACGTGACGCACCCAAGACTTGGGTTTGTACTCCTCGAGCAGTCGCCTGTCGAGCTTTTGCAGAACCTCATTGGCAGTGAGGCCGGAGATTGGGGAGCCAATCGGAGTGCCCTAAATTTGTTCATATGTGATCCCTTCGAAGATAAAGAATGCTTTGAGGTAGTGCCCCATGAGTTCTATGAGATCCTGAGCTGAGGGTTAGTCCTCGTTCTCATCGTAATTTTGACGTGGTAGGTCACTGAGCGTTTGGATCGCCAGGGCCTGTGGTACGAACGTGATTGGTGAGATGACATCAAATGACACCATCCTTTCAATCGGCTCGATTGTGAACGCCTTTATTTTGTCGAGAATTCGTTCTGCTGAGTGCACTGTTGTTTGTAAATCCATGGTAAGGAACCCCAGTTTTCGGAATAGCCAGTTTTCAAGCCGACAGTTTTCAAGAGACTGCGAAAGTAATTCAGTCTACATCGTCTGTTATGTTAACTATGATAACCTCAGCTACATCCACCGGTTGCCGCATCAGCTGCAGCGTGGGAAGTCTAAGCTCGCTTAGACGTTCCTCTTAGCTTAGATGTCAGAGAGAACGAACAGCCTTTGCTGTCAGTTCCTGAATTTCTCACAAAAGATCGACTTCCTGGACGCGGCTAAAGTGCTACGCTAGTGAATAATATTCAAGACGCGGTGAAGCAATTGTAGTACACAATACGACAAAGTTTCAATCACTGAGGTATTGAATGTATGGGTTGGGAATAAGACACGTCGAGCACCGGCACAGTTTGTTTATTCTCCTGAGCTTTCGAACTCGTGCAGGAGGCCATCGTCAGAGATAGTGGTAACAATATAACGTGCGACGATTATAGCGGATGCTAGTCAATCATTGACTGATGCCGCAGGACTAGAGATAACTGCGCAGGGCCCTGTACGGCGGCGCCAGACCGCATCAGAGACCCAGGATTCAATCGATTCTCGACCTGTTTTGTTGGCGTTCCCTGCTTTGATGAGTAATCTAGGTGATCATGCTGTTGTTGTGCCATTGCACTGGTCGTTTCTCTGTTGGCTGCACTTCCCCTGTCTTCTGAATTTGTGCAGAGCACTTAAGTACTTCGGTTTAGCTCTATATCCTAGCACATTCTTACGTGAACTTGTCAGAATATCTAAAAGTGTCACGGCTGAGTCTTATGCCGTGTTTTAGACTTTTTACGGAGGTCCTTTTGGTCTGTAGTGGTGCGAGGTATTCCTAATACACAGATCGCCCACATTATCCAAGAAGTTCCCGACCGATTCATTTTATTTGTCCTCACTCAAATTTAGCATCTTACAAGGGGGAAAGTCTTTTTTCCAGCTTACGTGTCATCACTAACTCTAACCTCGAAACATTGTCGCTTTCCTGATTTTCATACATTACTGACTTGCTGCTCTTCGATGACTTTTTTTAATGGCTAGGACCAACTGTGCTTGTATTCATTATTACTATGATCGCACTTTGCAGCACGCACATCGTCATATCTTATTCGTAGCGTCACTCCAGTCTTCCAAGTTCTGCAGCCCCCCTTACGTTCCACCCATCGCGAAAGGCCATTAGAGAGGGCATTCAGGTTGGGTTAGAAGGAACGTGGTTTGCATAAATAAGGCTGCAAGCAGAAAATGAGGCAGTATTTTCGTCTAAATAATATGTATATATGTATATCATTCAGGGTTATAATTAACCAGGGTTGGATGATTTTAATCATTCATATGATGGCAGCCAGTTTCGCTTTGCCATTCCCAGTTCTTTAATGTCCGTTCGTCTTATTTCCTTTACTGATTGGGCAAGGCCTTGAATAGCAAAGTTTATGCTGGTAGATGGTCAAAGACACGTCGAGCACCGGACCAGTTTGTTTATTCTCCTGAGCTTTCGAACTCGTGCGGGAATCCATCGTCAGAGATAGTAGTAGCAATAGAACGTGCGACAATTATAGCGGGTGCTAGTCAATCATCGACTGATGCCGCGGGACTAGTGATGACTGCACAGAGCCCTGTGCGGTGGCGCCAGATCGATAAATCAACTGACTGAGTTCTCATCGGAGACCCAAGATTCAATCAATTCTCGACCTGCTATGTTTGCGGTGAGGGTGAGTACCTTGGTGGCTGTGAAGTTAAACTCATGGTGCATTTCGTAGGTTTGTGCGGCCACTCGCGATAGTTCGCCGCCTCGTGGCACAGCCAGCTTATTTTCAGGTATGCGCGACCCAAGCATGCGCATGGTCTGACCTGTGCAGTTGCACGGATGGCTTTGGCACGGGATGCGATACACTACCCCCAGACTGCTCCTCGGGACTTAATCGGTCTTTTATTTTCATGGCTTTGGGCCTATGTGCATTTCCAACGCCTAGTTCTGCAGCACTGAGCTTGGTCGCTTCAGAGACTTCCTTGATGGATGACAAAATGAGTCAAAATACCGGCTTACGCTGGATGAAGGCAATATTTTCTAGCTGTTGTAGGACTAGCTCTGTCGCTTAGTCGGGGACCAATGAGCCCATTGGGGTTCCCTTGACCTGCTCATAGATCTCCCCAACAAAAAAGTAGTACATATGTTGGGAGAATTCAGACAGCCTCATGAGGTGCTTAACCTTAGGTGGATTTCGAGTCTCGTCGTACGCCTCTTCAAGTCTCTTGCGCAAGACCTCGTGCGCCAAGTTTGGTGGGATGAATGTGAATAGTGACGTCACATCAAAAGAAAGCACGATTTTGTTTGATTGAATCCCCCAACCTACGGCGTCTATGAGAAATTGAGAGGCTGATCGAGCTGGGGTAATCGAATTTCCCTTGAGGAACTTCAGTTTTAAGAACCCACTCTGCCAAATTATATATGGGGCAGCCTTTAAAGGTAACGATTGGTCGCAGTGGGACATTTGGTTTGTGTATTTTTGACAGACCATAGAACCGAGCAATAGCGGTGCCAGTTGCTTTCATTTAACGTCATTCATTTTCCGCGATCTCATTTTTGTTAGGCAGTTCCGGTGCTCGGCCAGTTTTCTTTGCTCATACATACACCTGGAACACGAACTTTAGCCTCCATTCGGCAATGATTGCGTCTACGAATGGGAAAGAGTGTACGTCATGTTATGGCAGCGAAATGTAAGCATTGTTTCGATGACACCGGATTAGTAGGGGTTGCAACCAGTATATCGGGAGCACATTCAATTTGCGAAACGTCTTCGTCGCTTGAAGCTGTGCACAGGAAGATATCCTGGATCTAACTCGATGTTACCAATGAAGAAACGGAATTTTTTCGCACTCACTGCAAGTTCCCATTGGTCAATCCATGCAGACATTCGAAATGTATCTTGCTCGACAGACACATGGTCCTGAGTCCGGTTTAAAAGCTAATTGCATCCGCAAACACTAGTTAAATGCCCGGAATATACCTCTGTCTGTATGAAAGCATCGGCACGAGCATGACAGTTTGCTCATTGTTTTTAGACTATGTCCATCGTGTGCCCTACGGCATAGTGGAAGCAGGGACGGTGACTTGCGCGTGAGTTAATTTACAGTGGTCAGACTAGCGAAGCGCCTACCGCACTGTCTCCTCTCTCATCTATGTCCGGCGTCAAGACAGTCAAGAAGACCGGAAGCGTGATCGGACGCAAGTGATTGGCACAACACGAACCCGCGCTAGACGTGCCACCACACACCCTAGTCTACGCAGAGTATCAGGATTTCCAATGATAAGAACCAGGGGAGCTTGGACCCCAAATTACTGTGAACGCCCGCCTACCATCGCTAATATGCCCGACAGCAAATCACAGGACAACGAGCCTGTGGTTCAGTGGTTAGAGCGTGGGACTTCAAACCAAAAGAACGTGGGTTAGAGCCCCAGGGATTGCAAAAAACGGGTTGGATATGGCTGGCTGATAACGGTTTATAATCCAAGAATGTCCATTCCAGTTTCCCTTGTCTTTATCGGCAATGTTATTCTGGCTGGGAATGCCGGGTTAGCAAACACAAGAGATCCGGGCCGATAATCTGAGAAATGTGATGGGCTCAGTGGAACAGGGGAATTGTATGGATAACGTTCCGGAGGGCTTAGCTGGCTCACCATTATCAAAACGTTTTGTGCAGAAAATCGACCAGAATTTTAAACAAACGGCCGAATTAGTTGGCCCCGGGCTGGTATATTTTTTTCTTCTTCTTCTGCCTTGGTCTTCCGGTCGTCGTTTGTGAATGTTGGTGGCCTCCTGCGTTGCGTGTCGTCACCTCAATGGGTGTCGGCTGCACCTGTCCTCCCTTTCGGAAATGTCATAATGGCCCCATTACAAAGGAGGAATTGCAGTCAGACTCTCCACATTAAGGAGGGGCGAGTTATTCGTCAGCTGGCCGCCTCTAAAGCCACGACATTTAAGGCGCTGTGATAGATTCCAGCGTGTCAGATCGTTTATTGTGGGGAATGCGCGCTGAGTCGACCTCATTCTTTTCAACTCTCAGACACCAGTCCACTTTCCGAGCTGGCCAGCTGTGTGATTTGGGATGGGGCACGGTGGCTGACAGAGCTAGAGGGCCCGACTGCGCGCGCCACACACACGACCTGGCCCCCCGCACTAAACCAGGGTTCCGCACAAAGGGTGGGCACGGACTGACAGCTCAGGCAGTGTTACATCTCAAACTCATTGGTAAAAAGCCCACCGCTGCAAAGAACTGCCTATCCAATTAAGTATATTCCAGGCCAAGTCGTAACTGTAAGGCATGGTGTAACGCCTTACGGAGACGATGGGGGTTGTTTGGACGGGCTGAGGTCACTTCTTGACACGAACCAGGATGGGGATGGGATAACTGCGTGTTGGTGAAGATGCCCGGTGCCTCCTCACCCGCAGGCGCTGACGCTCCCTCCCTCATCGTTTCCTCCATTCTCTCGCCAAAAGTGTTGCAGTCTCCGCCGGTTGTTTAGCTACCATGATAATGTCACCTTCCCATCCGGGAGGATCAGTCTATGCTGTAAAAAAACTCGCTCAAACTTATCCTGCTGTTAATAAAACCGAACCGAACTGAACTATCTTACCATTCTCTATCCGTCCGTATGCCCGCGATGGCTCTCTAAAAACCGTTTGGTCCTTCCTCGTGCTATTTTAATCTGTTTATGGCATTAAGAAAGCCGTGGAGACTGGTTTTCGGTGCTGTGCACGTCAGGAAAGCTGAAGAAGCGCTCGCGGAGGATTTCCTCCAGGACCTAGCACACACACTGGGCCGAGTGGGCGATAGGTCGCAGCGAAACACCCAGGCTCTTTATAAATTGGGACCGTCCTCCAACGACTTGGAATGTCGGTCGTCTGGACAGGCATAGCTTAAATAATTATCAGGTTTATACATAAGCCTATAATTATAATTACAAACCCAGGGTAGGCACTGAACATATTCAGTGCCTACAATGCATATGTGCATGGTTTGCGTAACGTACTGAGTTCGATAAGATATGCTAAGTATAGTTAATTGGTTTACTAACCCGGAGTTTCTGTTGTCTTCCGAATTAACTCAGAAGGAGTGCAACCTGCAACCTCCATAGGGTAGACGGCTGATAAATGACCTCTAGTCAAAAAAAGGCAACCGCAGCACCAAATACGCGGGCAAGCAAAACTTTCCGAAGATGGACAAAGTTGGCTTTAATTCAATTGCTCGAATATTTTTTTCATTTCATACAAAAGCTTTAAGAAATAAAATGAAATCCAGGCAGTTAGTAGTGTCCAATGAAAGCCTGTCAATGGGGTCATAAAGCAGGAGTAACTATGAAAGGGGGTTAACAAAAGACTCTGACCTCCAGAATGTATGAGAAATATTTGCTTTTTGTACATACTAGTCTTGCATATTTACCTGACTCCCATGCTGCTTTGGTGGTTTTCGCCAATTCTGTACTTGTTTCTGTATAACAGGACTGGTTACTTATAGAGATAATGGGCGAAGTCGTAATGTTGATGGAGAAGGACTGCAGTAGAGCCATGGTTAATTGGGTGGCTTGAGCAGGGTCCGCTTGTGACTTTGACAAACTAACTTTCAGTTTAGTTCAGTTTATTTGGAGGGTCAGAGACGCGGTCTTTGAAAACCCTATTTTCTACCTGTCCATGTGATATACAATTCACCAGACAACCATGCACACGTCCCGTTTATACAGCGGTAGCGAAACTGCATCCGCTGACAGGGAATCACATACCAGAGAACTATCAGCGCACAACAGATTGCGAGAGCCATGGTTTGTTGAAGCGTGGTATAGCATACGCGCGTGATCCTTGAAATCTAGAAGGAGGAGACAGACAGCCCTGCGTATAGCCCGGACCATCACCTTTCAAAGGCTAGGTCGACTGAGAGGCACTACCCGTCAGTGTGACATAGCTGCATTGGAATTTAGAAAGGAACGTCGGTATTCAAATGGTATCCACATACTTTTAGTAGTGTTGTTTTAAAACAGATATATGTGGCTTTTGGCGTCGTCCTTAATTCAAGTTTAGTGTGTAGACAGAAAATAATTCGCGCACATAGCCATCCCAAGGCTTACTGGAGATCTACAGAGATGTCACCTGCCTATATGACTTGTGAGAATCGCTCCAAGTGTTCAGACGAAAGATTCAACCTCGACATATTTTTAAGTATTTTCATTTACTACCCACGCAGATGAGGCGGAATACGCCACCGAAACCAGTTCCCAAAAAGCAGTTCTTGTTCAAAGCTGTATACTTTTCTGTTAACCAAGATAAAATTTAAGGGTAGCAGGAATTGCATTTGAAGGTCCTATTAAAAACCATACCCACCGTATTCGAATGAGTACAAACATACTGTTATAATGTTTCCATTCGTCTGTGCACTTTGCAAAATATTAATGTAAAATTAGAAACGGAAATTTGAGCACCCATAAAATGTGTTGGCGATGGTGTGCAATAGTATACATCTGCGTTAATTTCAGGCATAAACAAAGCGTGTATTTGGTGTCACCGAGTTTTCCTGCTAAAAATAGCGGTATTTTCCAAGCGAATATACGTTCAATTTGTGTATCGGATTATTCACAAATACTGGCTTTTATGAAGGTGCTGAGTTGCAGCACAGAATGCAAGCATTCGCAAATAAACTTCTTGTCCCAGTGATCGCATCTTCATCTTCTGTAGAATAGTATGTTCTAAAGCAATGGAAAACGTCTGCGAAAAGTACTGTGAAAAGTGTACGAAAAGTAATTCGAGGTAAACCCATATGGTAATAATATCGTTTTCTTATCCCTTACTGCCGAACGGGAAACCAGCACTCCGAAATGCCCACCCAACAATTTCTGCACCAGCCAGGTGGAAGAAATGGGGGAAAAATCAAGGCCGAATTACTCAGAAGTTTCACCTCGGTGAGAAAAATCAAAAAACATTGAAGGAATCAATCTTAAATGTTCGGAGTTCATTCCCCTACAGAGAGCCAATAACACTGGAAATAACTGATGGCCAGATTATGAAAAGCAACGCCCTTACACTGCCAGCACCATCCCCGCCGGACCCCCTAAAACCTCGCGGGCTTCAGGTGGCGATAAGGGACTATACAGGGGCTGAATTTGGGGCTGTGGTTGGGTTTTCGACGCCACAGCCCCCTACTGCCCCCACGCACGAAAAAAGTGCGCAGCGGGACACCTCCTTTCCGCCTTTTCCCGCCCTCATTTTAAGATAACGACATTGTTGTCCTCACTATGATGTCTTACACATGGCGCAGCGTGGCCCACCATCCTCTCATGTGACCCAAACTTATGTAGACGTCCTAGTACATTCGCGCCTAATCCTCTCTGGTAAGGTATCGGACAATGAAAGCAATTAAATAAGGAGAAGTAGTTCATCGGTAACAAACAAAGTAGTAAAAATATAAGGAAAATGTGTACAATCGTAGAAATTATCAGTCAATGTGTAGGAGGGTGTCCGTTGTCTGCGGCAGGTCCGTAAAAAAGAGAGGGCAATAGATGAAATGTCAAAATAATCCATAAAAGAAAAGATAGTTAAACTGGACTGCTAAACTATAAAAGTACGCAACACAATAAGTAATTGTGCTAGTGTAACGCCCCCGGACATGAACAGGATTGTTTGAATGTGATGACACTTTTCGGCGCGAGGACCTAGGGTGGATATGGCGTAGCCGCGTGTCGGTGAAGATGGCCGGTGTCCCTTCCTCTCTCTTCCGCCGATCCCTTTCCCCGCACAGTACCGTAACGTAACGTTCGTATCGCTCTCCTCCTCGCTACATCGGCACCTCCCTCGGCCCTCCCCTGCAGTTGCCCACAGCGCTGCATTCCCCACCGGTTAATGAGCTGGCATGTCGGTATCGTCTCTCCATCCAGACAGGTTATTCTACAGTTGTAACTCATTCTACTTGTACTAGTAACAATTATTATTATACGTATTTCCCGTGCCGTCTCGTTATATTATACTGTATCCCTTTATCGACGTATCTCCTTCTGTTGCATGTGAATGAGTTTCAAGAGATGTTAATGGTTCTGTCCAGATCTATGTCCTCCAGGATCTACTTTCAGCGTTTCTTTACTTTGATGTGTGCTACCCTAGATGCCCTCGCCCGCTACACTAGCACGTTCATTATCATTAATAATAATAATAATAATAATAATAATAATAATAATAACTGCATTTAATGCCAGTTTGCAGGCATTGTCAGGGGAGCGTTAAACGCAAATCCGACCAGCAGCGAAAAAACTCCTGTCAAAAAGGGATGAAAATAAAGTAGATTTTGGTTTTTTATAGTTTGGAGGGTTCAGGAGTAAAAAAACTACTGATCACAAAATACCGACAGTAAAGAAGAGAGGAGTTGCACCGTATCGGATATTATCAGTCGCCAATTCTTTTCATGCAGTTGGGGCTGGTCCAGACAGAAGCGTCGAAGAACAGCTGCCGCTGTTGGCTAAAGAAATTGTCTCTGGCGAGAGCGGCCATAGAGATCAGAGACCACAAATGCTATCGCTACGCTAAAGGCGATCAGTGGATTCAGCACCCAAAATTTGTGGGAGTTTTTCTGAATTCAAAAATCGAGTAATAGTCCTCTTAAATGAAGGATAGGTTTGCAAAGTTTTTAAATTTCTGGTTAGTTTATTCCAAATAGCAATTGCATTTACAGAAAAGAACCGACGATATTTAACAATACGTGCCAGAGGAAGAAATAAAAAAAACCACGCGTGACTGTTACGTCGGGGGTGCACATGATGTCTTAAAGAAGTGAGTGGGTTAAAGGTACGATTGGCAATAGATGGCTATTATAATTTTGTTGCCGCAGACATTTTACTGGAATAAAAAATAATTCCCCAGTCAAACAAACATAACTTCTAGCGTAGTATAAATGTAAGGCGCAGCAAAAGTAAAGAAAAGGATCGCATCGTTTAAAAAATGTTATTGACTGCATGTCTTGATGATGGCGTTGGGTTGGGTGGATAGCTTGTTTTGAAGACCGCGTCTTTTGAATTCGGTTTGAAATTTTCGACCTCCGAGGGATTTAACTTTTTCGAGTCTCCTGAGTCCTGGACACCCTGACGGCCTCTCGGAATTTACAAGTCGATTCTTCATAGCAATATCTCGATTCTCACAGAATTTCAACGGGAGTCTCGTTCGGAAAACCTATCTCCTTCCGACCACACCAGGACTTGTGAGGGATAACCTATCTTCGTCCAGTCGCCTCTCTGCAACAGCACGGAGCAATCCCCAAAACCTACGAAAGGCTGAGTCGTTTACCTCATATCCTCGATCTGGTTGAAAATTCGTGTCATACCTTTAAGAAAACCGTTTGAAACTTGTAAACTCGGTAGTGTTATTCAGAGAAATGCCCTCAAAACACGGTGTAAAATACATGCCCAAGGCGGGATTTGAACCCGGTCCATCGGTCGGACAGAAAACCGACGTTACCACTAGGCCACTGACCCACGCCATCGTCGTTAAAAATAATAATACATCTTCGATTACGCATGATATTAATGACTGTAGTGTTGGACGTTCTGCTGTCAGACCAATGCCCGTAAAACGCGCAAAAAATCTAGTGACGTTGGGGGATGTCACATACGACGATGAAATCTGTACCACATGTTTTGGACTCATCCATAAGTTTTCAAAAATGGAGGGGGAGTTAAAAGGTCTAAAAATGGAGGTAGAAAAGTTAAGGCAGCTTACTCACCACTTACGTGAAGAGAAGAAGCCGACAAATTCGGCAATTCAGAATCCGAAAAAAACATATGCAACCACGGCTTCTTTAGCCATATCAAACGCTGAAACTGACGAATGTTCGTCCAGGGAACTAGACACAGTTGAATGCCAGTCTCTCAGGCGAGAAAAAGACCTGCCAAAGCGAACTCAGATAACAAAGAAACATTCCAGAAAAACAACGCGCACCTCTGTACGATCCAAAAAAACGAAGGCCGCCTACGTACACGCAGACCAGCGAAGGAGAACGACCAGGAGGCCTACGAAGGACCGCCAGAGGCTTTCAAATATGTTAAACAATAAAGATATCGGAACACCTTGTGGACCGAATATTCAGGAGGAGGTTTTGAAAGAAA